CGAGGACTCAGGACAATACCAACACCGGCTTGGCCGGCATTCGAAGCTGCATCGCCTCCGGATAGGCGCAATGAGAAAGCACTGTCAGTGTCACTGGAAGGGGATCGCAGAGTGAGAACAGAGTTTGGATCTTGTAGGCGGCTTTCCGATAGGCAACAGATATCGATCAAGAGGGTCCCTAATGTTCGGGCAAGTGCTGTCTGTGGACCGATCGGTAACAATGTGCGTACGTTGAGGCCTGCCAGTCTGATGGAGGATCGGGAGCTCCAAATAAAAGCCGATAAACTGGGCTTGACCGCTTGGTTAGACATGGGCTTGTCGCTAGGGCAAGAGTGACGCTCCGCGTTTGCATGCCAGTTGAAACAAGAAGATAAACGCCTATCAAAGCATGTTAGGGGAGGGGCAAGAATGGGGGGGTTGAAAACAAGGGGATAAAAGTGAAGTTTCAACGGGACGATAAGGGTGAAAAAGCGAAAGAGGGGGAATAAGAAGACGGGAAGGCGTGAGCAGTAGCATCCAAACCCCTATCCACCCTGCTCGATGCAACAGATAGGGCACCGTTGATTATCCTCTAGGGTGGTAAGAGCATCAAGAAATTTTTGAGGAAAGATTCATAGTATTGCGTTGACAGGATACTGTTAGATTGCTCAGACCTAGGCAGGAGAACGATTAGGGTTCGCAACCAAAGCCTTTGGTTCAGAAACCTCACACATACACCACAGTCATTCCAATCCCTAACCTGAAGGGTTAGAAGACTGAGTTTGTCTGGCCTTTAACCATTGACCCATCTGGTACGGGTGGCTCTGAAGGTGCAAAAAAGCGTCATCCAGCATAGCTCAATGTATTGCTGAGGCACACAAACCATCGCACTACGGTAAGGTCTAGCCTCATTACGATGGATGTGTTCTCTCGCTGTACGAAGAGGGTGGTGAAGTCTTCCGTAAATGTATGGTAGGGTGAAATGGCTTCAGTATATGGAGATAAATCGGTTTTAAACAATATTCCTCATTTATCACAATTATCGCAGTATGTTTGATAAAATATTCGTTCTCCCTTAACTCTAAGATCCACGCACAACGCTCATTTGTTTTGGTGAATAATCCTGATTTCTTATTTATAACTGAAGCTTTATACTATGAGGACATGTCTGACAATCAAGTAACTATTTCGTATATGACAAGTTAATGAGAAATCAGCCTAGTCGTAGTGGTGGTGGCTGTGTAATTTAGCTGAAAAGTTCGTTCGCAGCAGCAACCTTCGAGAACCCAGTGCTGAACGCTGTCCAGGAATTCCTATATCTGTCAATCAGCAGCAGCTACTTATGGGATGTATATACAGCACGCCAAACTGCAGCCAAAAGACTTAGAAATTTTGAAGCCTGCATTTGAATGCAGCGCTAGCCTACCATTTATACATAAGATTATTGATGATTTCAATCTGCCGTCGATTTCATGGCCCATGGGAAGCGATCCATTGAAATGCCAAAATCATATCTCCTGTATCCAAATGAATGGCTGGTAGCAACACGTCTCTCAACCTACCAGAGGTGAAAGTACTCTGGTTCTCATTTTTCATTGGGCATACCTGCAATTAGTGTTAAGGTTCTTGTTAAATTCCCAGGGGGCGATCATCGCGTAGTCAAATGCCGCCTAAGACTATGCATGGTCGCTGTAGAGAACGAAATGCATTATCGCCTGTTCAGTTCCTTCAACTGGAATTCTTTCAAGGACCCGGTTCGTTCGAGGAATTGGGACAACTTCTTTCTCTCTTCATGTCCTCAACAAGCGACGGACCTGTTTTATAGTATAACTGATTTACGCTTCGATTTAGCAGTACCACTAAAATGTGCTTACCAAACTAAGCATAAATCCGATCGCAAGGTGTTGAAGGCAGCAAGAAAGCTGTATAAGATTCGGCGGAAATGTAGGTTAACTGCTGACTTTGCACTGTTATTACAGGAGTCCAAGATCGTCGAAGAAAATGGGCATGAAAATGACAAAGCTCTCATTTTAGAAGAGTGTAAAGCTCTGAACGGCTCTAGCAAAACAGTTGAACTAGTCAAAGCAACCCGTGCCCCGGGGTTCGTCTCACAGCAACAATTGCAATTTTATCACTACGCCTGATGGAACAAACTTTGACGCACTAGGTGATATCTGCGAAGCTTCCAGTGCTTATTTTGCCGAATCAATCAAACACACACCAGCACTTATCATGTCGAACAACAGTGAAAGTCTATGTCTAGTGGGATTCACTATAGCGCAAATCACTGGTCCAGTCTCTTGCTTATGCTCTTCAAATTGCGCAGGCCCTGATGGGATCCCCCTGTTTTATCAAAAGCAGTCATAGTGACTTCCTTCTGGTTTTGCTCAACATCTTTACACTCCCTTTTAACAACGGAGTATCCCCTATGCAATGGAAAACATCTGTCGTTATCTTTCGACACAAAAATGGTGCCGCTCATGAGGTTAAAAACTTTCGTCCCATCAATCACACATTCATGGTATCGAGAATAATCGAAAGAAGAGTGAAAGATGAATTATTTGTATTATTGAACAAGGCAAATATCAGCAATTCATGGCACTACTTCACGCAAGGTCGATGCTGCGCAACATGTCAGACAGACTTTTTAAACCACACAACGGCTGTCATAGAGAATGGAAACTTGTAATCCTGTTCCTGGATATGCAAAAAGCCTTTGAAATTTACTGAACAAACTGATGGCCATAGGCATTAAAGAACCGATATGTTCTTGACAGCAGGTGATGCGCATCGGTGACCATTTCTCTAAACCGAAAGCAACCACAGTGTAGTGATGTAAGGAAGTGTTCTTGTCCTCTTCTTTTTCTGATATATATTAACGATATATTCCAGAGAATAAGAAATGGTGTTACGTTTATCTTTGCTGATGACATTAAAATTGTCTGCTCACAACCACGTGCAAATACTCAAGAAGCAGTAGGTCGCATCCAGGATGACCAATCTGCACTTGACTTCTGGTGCTAACTGTGGCATTTGCCGTGGAAAAGTGTAATAGTTTGTCTTAAAAAATGCCAAGTACTGCCAGACAGTCTATTACTACAAGGTGCATACATCACGCAATGCAGGGCAGTTCATGACTTGGGCGTGCGATATTCAGTTACTTTTAACTACTCTGAATATGGTGACGTTCAAGATTCGAAGGCCATGAGGACCATCGGATAAATATGCCACCAGTTTACCTCACGGAATCTCGCATATGACTTTAGAAAATACATGTATTGCTGTGTACGGAATACGGTTCATTGGTCCAGTCTAATCTGCGAAAATCTGACAAATATGCAAATGAGATGGTCCAGAGACGCCTCATGAAAAAGCTATGTGGGTATTCCTCAAAGACGACATATGGAGAGCGATGTGATAAACTTGGATTGGATCCAATTGAACCCAGTCTGGCTTCGGAAAATGAAGCTGAACCTATGTTCTTTTCCAGAACCATAAACCGTCAAATTCCTAGTCTTGACAATGGTGTTCAACTATCTTTAAAGAGCAGATATCCAATCCCTAACGGTTATGATTCCAAAATTTACTACGAGAATCAGAGTACGTAACTTTCTAATCCACTACGTAAAAACTTGGAACAAACTCCTCAGAGATATCCGAACATACTGCATACTTCGTAACCTTATGCTTGCGATTAGCAAGTAGTTAACCGTCCAAAACGTGATTATTATTTTCGAGACATGACAATCCCTAGATAACGCTTTCGAAAACGGTATCGCTGGCGCCTGAATAAAGTTTCAAACCACATACACAACATTTTGGACCACAGCCCCTTTCATTTCATCTTTTCTTGGTTTGAACATCGGTCAGGTGATTGTGAACTCCTGTTCAACGATAGGAAAAAATAGCAGAACGATTCTGATTATTTTGTGTTACGTAAATGTGAAATTGCGCCCATGTTTATTTCTGAAAATCCTTAATGTAATTACATGAGAAGTACGTACCAGTATTTGATTTATTCATCTTAGGAAACAGCTTCTCGCATCGTCGAGAAATATACAATTTAGTTCTTTAACAATCAAAAAGTGGCCATCCGTAAGGATAAACTTACTGGCCTACAGTATCGTCCGCCGCGTTGCTGTGGAACGGGAAACTCGGATAAGAGAAAGGATGTAGGTTTCCGCCTGCGTAGACTATATTTTCACCCTGCGTAGATTTTTAGGCAGCAGAGTAAGTACCACCATCTTTATTCATATCAAAAGTGCACTTCACCCGACCGATAGCTTCATTCTGTTCAATACACATGCTCAGAAAGGTGTTAGTGGGATATGTGGGAACATGGTACGCGTGCTAAACTCGAGCACCTTATGTCAAGACGTCAGACGTCTTTCCGATAACAAGCGGTGTTCGCCAGAATTGGCACACTCCGATTCTTGTGTATTGTAAGCTCCAGCCTGGAGCGTTCAATTGTAAAATAACACGATGTAGGGATTGAGGCTATTCATAAGAGAAGCACATGTGGATTACTAGGACAACCATGATGTAGTACAATGAAACCGCCATGGAAACTGCAGTGATAATAATTGTGCCCCAGAGATGGTAAAGAAAATGTCAGCAAACAAACTTCTCAGCCGAACCTAATCCGATGTAAAGCACATGAATAATGGTGTTCTGTATGCAAGTTTCGGAGACAGGACACAGGTTAGCTCCGAGCGGCTATAGTTATAGACATCGTGTGTTAAGAACCCGCACGCGGCGTGCACATTTCAAGCCCAGAAGATCACATGATTTCCCAGTTAATGTGGCCATCGAGGTAAACGGTGACTGTTTGCTGGTTGAACTGAGAAGACTTGATAAAAGTGAAAAAGACAGAAAGTAGGATACGGGCGAGGGTATGCGGTGGAGATATAGAACTGAATGTTGGCCAAAGAAATCTTGTTCGAAAGCAAAAGTATACGATATCGGCGTTGTAACCAGAAGGGTGATGGCGAAAGTGGTCAACGCAAACGAACGATACTCACCCTCAAAGTGGTTCCAATCCGATGCGATTCAGTTACGGGTAGCTCTGGGCGATGACTCACGCACAACGGGCGCTGTGGATCAGTTGGATCCAAATGGACGGATAACAGATAAGCTGAAGAAAGGGGTGGACAGTTATGTAAAGTATGTGCTCAAATAGTGAAGTGAGAAGAAAGACTTTGTTCGACCAAATGTGTAGATCAAACCATGAGGTAACCAGAGTAAAGGCGGGGAAGTGAAGAATGATGCATGAAGAATAATGATGAAGTCATTCAAGAGAATAGTACGACAGACTCTGGAATAATGTACTATCGTTCACAGCCAATTGGGAAAGACAGAACGGCTCTGGAAAATGTTCAATCATTATTTACCAAGCTGGTTACGGGGCGCTACTCAAACCTGACTTATAATGATCGCTGTCGAAAACTCCAACTGGATCCTCTTTGGCTGAGACGCTTAAAGAACAACCTCGTTCTCTTCTACAACATTATAAACCAACGAACTTATGCAGACTGCACCGCACTTGAACTACGGAGGTTTACAGGCTACACCACACGTAATGGCGACTGCTTGATACGCACAAACCTTTCAAGTCATAAAACTCGGTTGAATTTCTTCTTAGTGAGATACACTGTTCTGAGGAACAAACTACCCCTACAGACACGCATGTGTACAAGCCATGTCACGTTTCGAAATTTCCTTCAAACGTTCCTCACTATACCAAATGTGTTGAAGATCTTTGACTCACAGCAAACTCTAGAAACATTGACAGAAGCTGGTATAAAAAACATATGAGCAGATATTCGCTTACAACTAGCTTACCCACTACATGTCATTCCATACAATACCAAATCCTGTGTCTGTGCAGCCTAGTATCCCCTCCCTTTTATTATCTACTCCCGATGATACAAACATCCGTAAATTTTACATATGAGGTGCACGGGTCTAGGACTTAAGGAAAAAAAATCATGATCCAAAATTCTATTAATAAACTTTACTGTTATGAAACGTATTCACTATACATATAATCGCTCCAACTTATGGGGCCGTGTACTGTCTGTCGGTAAATATACAAATTTATTTATTTATTTCATTTAAATGCGTTTGTGGAACACTAGGAAAGGGGACAGTCAGACAGATAGGTATACGCTTCAAGTGTTACCAAATCACGCGTCATCATCAGCCAAATGGGAGGCAACAGTACAATAAGTTGTTGAACCCTATCTATGGGTTTTACTACTCAGTACCGACCTTGTTTTGGGATGTACGAGCCTACTCGGTTTGCAGCAAATACATGAAGGCAGTCCGATTGGGAGAACGACAGGGAACAGTGGTCATTCAGTTAGTCATAAATGTGATCTCTGAGGTTTTAAATGAGCTGCAAATAAAATGAATGCAGTGTCTAGTACGTCCAACACGGAGAGAAGTCAGTCGGTGGGGATCCCGAAAGCATCTCAAAGGCCACTGTGATTTCGGAGAGTCTTAGCGAAACGAATGCAGTGAGATGACACAGGAGTATGGTAACAGAAAGATGCTCAGATAAATTAAAACAGAGTTGATAATGCGAATGTCGCGAACCAAAACGAGCGAGTCAGTTCGCCATTTTAGTGTAGATCTGAAAAGTATGATGCGTTAGATGGAAGATGACAGAACACACCACCCAAAATACTAAACGCTGTTCAGATGCTAGGACTCACGGGTCGGTTGCAATTTTCCGCTCAGGTTGAGTTGGGCTTGAAACTGATTCACACTCAATGCGTGCCAATACGAGATGACGAGATTTTGACCGGGCCTGTAGGCCTCTATCACGAACTGATCGGGTGGCCGTCGGGTCCGAGCACGTTGTGCTTGCTCATGCAGTACGTCGAGCTGGAGAGATACACTGAAAGCATCTTTATCAAAAGGTAAATGCATAGGACTTAAGCATTGTTAGATTGGAAAACATTATACGAAAAGCAACTTAGGAGACGAACTGATATAGTGGAGGAGTACACACGCAATTGTGGGACGAAACGCAAAAGTTTCGTCCAAAGTGACCCGAGGAAAGGTGGATGAATAAGTTACCGGTTAGTAAGCATGTGTACAATCGTAACTGGCCTCAATAAGAGAGTGAAAAATAAAACCACAGGAAAATTCAAATGTAATGCGGCAAATGACCAAGTGTCAACCTACTCAAGCGATGGCAAGCATAGGTCCCCGATCGGAGGTGGATTGACTTAAAGGTCTGGCTTGTACTCCACGGATCACTGCCCCGAAGATTCGTAGGTTCGAGCGACCTCGAAGTATCCCAAACTACATGCAACCGTTGACGGCACTTAGTTTCTTGCCATTAATCGAAATCAGAGAGAGAGGCGTTAGCAGTACAGCGGTACGCCGTACCGACGCATCGCTGCCGCGCAACCACTACCGGTCGCACGTGGACTAGGGATACTGCCAGGGTCGCCCTGTCCCTATGCAGGCTCGAACTCGCGCCATCAAATTGCAAGACAAACTTGTTAACGTTAGGTTACGGGCAAGCGTGAATGCAAGAGCAAACGAAAACACTGCACTAGATGTGACTGGTCGGACAGATTTATCGCGCTGAATACACACTGTGATGGGATTATGCAATAAGAGGAACGAGACGGATGTACATGACGAAGCAAGCGAACGGAATAGTAGACCGGATGCCTATGCATATTCGCCTATACGCTGGGGCGAGTTTGTTTGAATGATTCAAAGAAAGAAACTCATGAATGCGGAAGCGTTGTTAGTTACGGAAGTGACCTAGTTATTTACATTGAAGCTTCTACAATCTAGTAATGCCGCTAATTTGTCGAACAAACTGATTGTCCCTGCAGCACCAATTCCTGCAACATGGTGTCAGGAAAAACCACGACAAGACCGCCGAACGGTGCTCGATTGCGAATTGGAGCGTAACTTGCCGTGCAAATATCTGCCTCATTGGACATGGAAGAATACAACTTAGCCAGTAATTGGAAAAGTTGAAAAAGTAATTAAGTCGATTTCTGCGTATTGGTGCGGCTGAACGAACAACGGATCGTGTATCGCCCGGAGATGTCTCGACATAGGCTAACAGACGAAACATGCCGTGTTTTTGAAACCATTCAATGCGAAAAAGACGCAGATTCAGTTCATCTGGAAAGTCAACTGAAAATTCGGTGATTTCTGAGAGGGCCAGACTAACGAGACGTATCAGTGCACTTTCTTTTTACACGAAACAGGTGCCCAAACGAAATTATCGAGAACTATGTTACGAAGTTGAAAATTTTGGCTCATTCCTTTAATATTTGCAATTGTATGGCTGACAGTCTCATCCCAGATAAAATCGTGCTGGGGATCCATGATGAAAACTTCACCAAGCGGCTGTTGCGGGCTACGGCATTTATCGCGATCGCAGTTGCGTAACATACTACGGTCGAAAACATGTAAGTCGTTCCAAAAGTTCAAAGGCTGCGTGTGTAAGACCTCAAGCAGATCGCAACGGGTTGCGCCAACCACAATTCCAGGCGTCAGAATGTTGAATCAAAGGCTATAAATAGTGCACCTCGAACAGAGCCCCTCTGGTCAGCAGAGAGTATCAAATTCCCTTTACGACCCAGTCGTCAACATTTAGTTTTTCTCTTCCCTTGCAACGCTCCTCTTCCTCATCTACTTAACAAAATACAACCGCTGGCCCCGCAGCTACTTTTGGATGCAGGGATTACGCTTCATCAGTCTTATGCTTAGTGCTTCCGCAGTAGCAACCAGTCGTGCTGCTAACTGATGGGTCAAGTGTGATGGTACCTTATACAGGATTTCGAAGGCATTACGTTTGTCAGTGTTGTGCCTAGTGGCAATCAGATGGTTAGTAATTGTACTTAGATTAGATCTGTCTCTGTGGTTGGTGAGCGAATTCAGTAGCTTCTCCTTGATTCAATTTTCTAAGCGCCTGGTCGTACGTCCAATCTACCTAGCTCCACAGGAGCAGGTAAGTCGGTATATTACATTTGATTGGAGGCGATCAGGCACTTTGTCTTTGAATCTAGGGACAACCAACGATTCGCTCGTATAGATCACATTGACTTCAGCTGCCTTGAAGGTATTCCTGCAGGATTGCATCAATCTTCTTGTACAGATCTCGGCCGCTTTGTCACCCTTAAAGGGGATCTTAAGGAACAACTGTTTTTTCTCAGCTGTTTGTACTGTTGGCTTCGGCTCCTTAGGACTCATAGGCGCGTCGGTAAAACGTTCTGGATAACCATTCTCAAGTAGTGTGCACTTGATTCCTTCCAGTTCATCTGCAATCGCGTGTTCGCTACAGAGCTTGTGCGCACGAGCGGTCAATGTATGGATCAGTGTTCTTTGGCGGCTGAGGGGCACAAGGTTTTGGAAGTGTATGTACTGTCCCGTCCAATAAGGTTTTCTGTACTGTCCTAACTAGATTGATTTGTCGGCTCTCCTCTTTAGATTTACATCCAAAAAGTTCAGACGGATGTTACTTTCTTCTTCCGCTGTAACTGAGGCATTAACATGTGCCCTGTTGAAACGTTCGATGATGTGTTGCAAGTTGGCGGTCCGATCCACTATGTAGAAAATCTCGTCTACGTAACGTCGATAGAACTTGAAGGTTGAAATGACCGGTTTCAGCGGTTCATTTTCCAGCATCCCCATGTAGACATCCGCCAATAGTGGTCCGAGAGGTGATCCCATTGCTACTCCATCTATCTGCCTGTATAATTCATTGTTAAACTGAAATTGGACGTTGTATGTGCATCTGAGCAAAAGTTGCTTAAGCTGACCAGTTGGGATGTTCATGCTTGTCTTTTGTCGATCAATGAACCAGTAAAGAAAAGCTACGGTTTCTAATAGCGAAAGGTTGGTAGACAGCGCTACGAGGTCCAGAGAGAACATGCGATAGTCCAGTATGTTTATATTTTTGAAAGTTTCGACAAATTGCAACGTGTCACTCAGGTGATGAGGGATAATCTTTTTCCAACAGGATCCAGTATCCATTTTGCGATGCTGTGATAAGGCGAGTTTCTCATATCTAGTATTGGCTTCAAAGGTGTGTTCCGTTTGTGTATTGTTGAGAGGCCATATAGTCTTGGAATAATGGACCCAATGGGTCTGAGCTTTTCATACCTTTCTTTGGCCATATAGCCGTCAAGCACCATTGACTTCAAGAATTTGGTCAGTTGTGTTCTGTGTATGCTGTTTTGTCCTTCTCTTGCTCACGTTATCAACCTCGAGGTGTCCGGGAGGATCAGTTTCGTCTTCTGTAGATATTCTTTGCGATCCATGATCACGGTTCCTGACCCTTCGTCTGGTTTAAAGATGATAATATCCTCATTCCGTTTAAGTTCCCTCACGGCTTCTAGGTGTGCCTTTGTCAGCAATCTGGAGTGTATCATTGGAAACCTTTGATCCTGAAAAGAGATGTTAACCAGGTCTGACTTAAGTCTTTCGAGAGGTAGTTGCCAAGTCCCTCGTTTGACTATAGAGATGTTCAAACTGGGTTTCTATTTCTAGACGTTGATCTTTTCTCCGGGGATGGCAGAACTTAGAACCTAGCGAAAGTGCTTGCGTTTGTTGTGCGTCCAATTGCACACATGATAGGATATATATGTAACGTTTAAGATTTGATAGGAACTTAGCCGGGCGTTTCATTTTGTTCAGTGTTTTTTGAAATAAAGACCGTTTCTTGTCTATTCGTTTGGCCGTCACACCTCGTACGTAGCTAAGGATGCGGATTCTTTCATCATCGAAAAGAGCATTTAATGCTGACTGTCATTCGGTCTCCTCTAACTTAGATTTAGTCGATTCTATGATATTCAGCGTGACGTTTTAAGGTGCTTGTTGTAAGGCAAATATGGTGTCGACGTAATGCCTACCAGAATGCTTGCGAATAATTGTTCGTTTCAATACCACGACGATAAATTTCGATGCATGCCTCCGTTTCGGCAAATCTCAAGCAGAACTGTTTAAGTTCTTTAATCGTTTGGGCACATTTGGAAGGTTTAATTTCGTGTAGAATGCCCATTTGGTTGTTAAACCCAAGAAGGTATATGTTACTTGTACTTCAAATCAAGGGTCGCAGTTCACATTGGTTTGTTTACATCCGCGTTTTGGGTCAGATGGGCCAACAAGCTGCACTTTCTCTTTTCATTCCCTTGATATTGATGTGTACTGTCTCCAAAATGCGTATAAAGGATAACAGCGTCACAACGAATCTTCGACACTGGTTCCGAAGTTACCGAAAGCGAATCCACTGTTAGCGTCTCTGACGATACTGAGACAATTGCTCAAGGTATTTACAGGCCCGTATCACCCTTAGCAAACGTGATGAAATCAATCTATTCGACTGGATACTAGTGAACTGCCATATACGTGTAACTGTGGCAGCGCCTTCAAACTTGACCGTGCATTTCCGTTCTATACGCGGAATTATTTACATTCACATTTGCAGCAAGTGTCTGCCTTTGTTTTTTTTACATTAGGCCATAAATGATGACATGTTAACATACACTCCCGAGATTTTAAAATCCCTGTGTTGCTACTCCACTGAACGCCCCATTTTTCACGTACACGCCATAAAGAATAAACTAAAAGCGAATCTACAAGAAGCAGAACAATTCTATTAGAAAGAATCACGCTAGAGGAAGGGTTGCACTACGGAATAAAACATTGTATGGCACGGTTATACTCACCATACTTAGCTCAAATATCTGATCAATGGTGAGCAAAGTAGACGAGATTAAGGCCAGAATCAGCTGACTTAAATAATGAAGGCTGGGTGCGATTATGCTTAAGAGACTTGACGCCATGAGGACGTGGACGACACATGTGTAGCGATTGAAGGACCCATTTGTCATCGTGTCAAGCGGTCATGTACATGGCGGAACTGTGGAGATGTTATCACTAACATCAATCCCTGATGGTGCACGTCAACAGGGTGTTTCGCTTCTCTTCATCACGTAGCAACGGTTTAATTTTGAAATGTAAATCAAGATGTTCAAGCGGATACCAATGGACTAGCCGGACCGAGGGATTCATATTGTATGAGAGCACAGCACAATAAATAGGTTGAGGACAACTACTAATTAATTAATATTACTAATTAATATCAAGTAACACAACACGAACGGTACTAGTTCAGAGTTCACATAGATTCACGTCTGATCTCTGCTCGAGTTCAAGCTCCAATTGTAGGTCGATCCAATGTTGCACCACGGTTCTCAGCTTGTACGCTGACTGTAAGGTGGCTCCCCGTAATGCCTTCCTCGCACAAATTGACGTACGACTTCCGTTTCGGGTCTCCGTAACCGATCAGTCGATCACCGTGGCTGTAAGTTCGTTCCTTTTTGTGGCCGCTGGTCAAAGCTCATTAGATTCCTCCTGGGTCCCAGGGTGAGTGGTTCACTGAGTGGAGAACTCCTGTTCTCTCCAAACAATCAAGCTCCTGGTCAACCATCGGTGTCGTTGAGTAAGGTATAGGGCGTCTCGTGCGAAACACTGGAACGGCATGCGTCTTAAGGGACAGTGAAGCTTGTACTTTCGTTTTGCACTACATTCTGGGCAGATTGTCTGTACAAACGGCTGAGTAGGTCGTTGCACAGTTGCAAACCTTTGCATTTCGGTTCGTAGGCGATTTCTTCGTCTAGCGACAAAAGGCGTCTAGATGTGCTTTGATCCATGGGAACGTGGCAGCAATCACAGTGGGGGGGGGCACGTTTTGGGTCCCATTGTGACCTCCATTAGTTGCGTGGCGGACCGGAGTTCATTAATGGTATTGGAATTTTTGCTCTTGTTGACGTCTAATCCCAAGTTCAGCAGCTTGTAACATCCATATGCAATGTCCTTTGATGGCTGCTCTGGTTCCAATTCACATTCGGCTTGAATGTTCAGCTTCTGTACCGTGATGCTTCACACATGCACTGTTGGAGCTGAAGGAGCGTCTGCATTTGCTCGGAAGAGATGGCTGTAAACTGAAGCGACAGTGTTCTTGTGAGGGTCTCGATCATTCGCAGCTGTGCGGCCTCGAACTGCAGCAAAATAGCTTTCAGGTCTTCTGCTGAGATAGGCATCTTGATGAAGCTTACCACCGTCGCCAAAAAATCGGTTGTGTTTCCGTTTAGGAGGCGAATTCCAACTCCGTAGCCAGAAATCCGTTGTGGTTTCCACTGAATGTATGGGTAAACTGCCTGAATCAGTTGTGCCGCCCTAACCAGTTCAGCCGGCAACAAAATGAGAACGCCAAGACCAGCCGGACCGAGGGGTTTGTATTGTATGAGAGCACACCGTAATAAATAGGTTGAAGGCAACTACTAACACAAACATATTGGAGGTAATAATTATTATCTATTAACACAACTCGACCGGTTCAAGTTGCCGCTGGCATCACATGGATTCACGTCTGATCTTTGCTCGAGTTCGATCTCCAAATGTACATCGATCCAATGTTGAGCCACGATTCTCGGCTTGTATGCTGACTGTAAGCTGTCTCCCGTAACAGGTGCCACAATCTTTTCACTTAACATTGACAGAAATACAGTACTCAGTAAACGGCCGCAGCTAAATTCTAACAAAACAGCTGGTCCGGACGGATTATCTCCCGTTGTCCTCCAAGTGTGAGCCGGTTCCTTGGCCAATCCCATTGCTGACCTGTACACGTTGTGCATGAAGGAATGTAAAACTGTTAACTTAGAGAAATGCTAGAATTACACCAGTGCCGAAGAAGACTCAAATAAATACAGACTAATTGCTTGCACCTCAGTAAACCTAGAGGAATTCTAAATTATTTTTTTGAAAAAATGACGACTCAAAATCATTTAGATGATCCATTGCAGTTTGCTTATCGTAGTTTGAAGTTTACGCAAGACGCATTAGCCTGTCTTCTACATTCAGTGCTGGTGTCACTAGAAAACGATTTGACAGCCAATGGAGTGAGCTCTGAGAAGGACTCTTGTCACAAACCAACCGGCAGACCTCAGCGTTGCTCACGTGATGTTCCCACCAGGTGTGAGTAATATCTCGATAGCACTGGTGACAAAAATAGCCAATCGTTTAATATCTTTAGTGCGAACTGGTCACATCCCTGATCCATACAGTAACACTGGCCTTAGCGCCACGTCATGCATCTTAACTCCAATGGGAAGTTGATATCATGACGTCTGCAACAATGGTGTAGTCTCTGAGAAAACCACACGGACCTTGCTGTTACGCGAGATAACCTCAGTGATGTGACCACCAAGAGTGACATAAGTGCCAAAGTAAGTGGGCGAATCCATCGCTTTCAGTGGCTATTCGGTGATAGCTAGAACCGGTAGCTCATTGGACCACTCCTGCAACAGTCCTTTGCACTTGGAAGATACAAAACACTTGCCGAAGAGTGCGGCGCTACGCGTCGGTCTATTCGGTAGTGTCTGCTCAGCCAGTGTCTAACCCAACGAGAACTATGTCATTCGTATGCCCAAGAGTTGTCGACCACTCATCTGACAGAACTCGCCGTCCAGAGGAGGCTGAAAGTACTGAGTCATTCGTGGTCATCATCATTAGAAAGTTGAAGAGGAAAAGAGGAAAAAGTAAAATCTTCATGTGTGAAGCGGGTCCATCTGCAAAATAAAACTCATGCCAAAGAAGCTTTGGTAACGCATTAAATGGCTGGAAATACAGCACTTGAAAGGGGACTAAAAAGTGGTCCTGATATGTGCGAATTGGCTACACTGGCTAGAAGTGCATTTAACAACACGGCAAATGCGACAAACACGAAGCAAAGGATACGTAGCATGTCGTAGAGATGGATCAACGGAGGACGTTTGTCGAATTGCCGGTGCAACAAGCGAGATTGTGCTTGATTTTGGATAAACTGAACTTGCAATGGATTAACCAGGTTGCGATTATCTGCAGGAAGGGGCAGAAGGAGTTCAAGATTAAAATGGGGTTGAACTCAAGGAAGTAGATATGGCTACACTGTGCCGGTTGGTATATTCGGTAGAGGACAGTAGGCAAAATATCATGAGTTTCGGGTGATCACAGAAAAAAATCGGCGTGCAACATGAAGCGGCATCTACGGTGTATAATCACTGGTAAAATCAAGGTAAGAATATATATATATATATATATATATATATATATTTATATATATATATGGTTGGCGGCATCCGGTTTCGGATTTGCCTGTCACTGTGGTCAGCCACAGGACGCCTGCGCCTACAGAGGGACCATGGATGGCTTGCGCTGCACCACCCACACCTCCAATCACACACCCAATATCCAGTGTAAACCCGAAGGAATAAGACCGGGAGGCATGCGGATGGGAACCACGTTTCATCAACGGAGCCGGCCCACACTCCTTCACAGGCAAACACAAGCACACTGTTTTTGGGAAATCAAGCGCACACAAGGCGGTGGCTGGACCGCAGTCCGTTCCACACTGACTGCATGGAACCACTCTTCGAGCCTAGCACGGTCACAAGGACAGTGCACCCCGTCCCCTCCAAAAACGAACAACTGTCTCCTGGAGCCAGTATGGACGGGGTAGTGGGTAATAGACAGATAGGCACCTTGTCAACATGTACATCAAGCGCAGCCACACCGGGGATATCAAGCAACAGCCAATCATTTGAAACGACAAGATGAAATAAAACAAATCCAATGATGCATAAAGATACGGTGGCATAACTCTTCGCTAAATTAGCATATGAAGTAAGTTGGTTAGCAAGGAATCCGCGATAAGGAAAAAATGTCCACAAGTTAGTTAAAAATGTTACAAAACGCAACAGTTGCCGAAGATAAGCGCAACTAACGTAAGCGACGTGGCCAGTTAATAGAAGAGTATTCAGGAAGGCAGAACAAACCAAATAAAGAGGAATGAAATTTAGACAGCTTAGAAAGACGTAGTTTAAGTGTAAGTTGGTTTAGCCCAACTGGGGTGAAGAAGCATCAAGAATGCAACATCAGCCTCAGCAAGGGGCATATATATATATATATATATATATATATATATATATATATATATATATATATATATATATATAAGTATATATAGTTACTGCACTGTTCACTTCTGTCAACTTACAAGTGGCGAAAGAAAACATCAGAGGATGCCTGAATGTTAGCGTAGGAATAATTGGGAATATGACGACTGACTACTCGACCGGCTACTCGACTTGTGTCTCACAATGTGCTTTAACTTCAATGGGGTATTTTAGGGACAAGTGAAAGGAGCCTCAACGGGATCCCCTATATCTGGATTCATTGCAAAGATTGTCATGCAACCTTTAGAAGATATGCTCCCAATTATGAGATCAAAACTGTGATTCAGATATGTTGACGACACGTTCGTGAGACTCAAACGCAGGCAGTTGCAGACAGCAAAAAGCTTGCTGAACAATGCAGTAGATGGCATTCACTTCACTTTGGAATCAGAGGTGAAAAACTAAGCACCTTTCGTGGAAGCACTGATCACTAGAACAGCGGAAGGAGAATTACAAACATTAGTTCACAGGAAAGACACGCACACAGACTAAATCCTAAATTCCAATAGTAATCATCCAAAATGTCACAAAAAAGCTGCATACTTTGTTTCGAAAAATGGAATTACATTGCAATACCACGGAAGAAAAACGAGAAGAAAAACGCCTGTTTACATTCTTCATGCGCAACGGATATCCACGCAGTTTCATCCGAAGACACAAACTGCGAGGCCACAAATGCTATACATGAACCAACAACAACCAAACGGATCGCTTTGCCGTAAATCGAGAACGTATCGGAAATGACTACCCGACTCCTCAAGCCACACCACCTAATGTTAGCCCGCACACCAAACGCCACTCTGAAATGAACCCTATCTAGACCGAAAGGGAAAACGAGCGCACACGAATGTCGGAAAGTTGTTCACAAGATATAGTATAAAAATTGCGATAAGCACTATGCGGGCCAAACGGGGAGAAAATCATCTACAAGGTTACAAGAGCACATTACTCATCAGCAATGGTGTCAACACAAGTGGAGGAGGAAGGGCACATGTTTGACTGGGGAGAAAACGGAGGTGCCAGCCCAAAGAGAGACAAGAAAAGGAAGGGAATTCCTCGAGGCGTGGTTCGCTACGGAGAATTTAATAAAGCCGCGCACTGACTTAGATCCAGCCTACCATCAACTGCGAAAAAGAGAATATAGGTGAGTCATTCACAACGTGAGCTTACAAGAGGCAGCGACTAATTATATATATATATATATATATATATATATATATATATATATATATATATATATATATATATAAATTTAAGTTGTACGTGATAGTAGAAAGTAGTGTATATTAAATAATGAAGAGGAAACTAGGTTCTTGAGGTTACCGAGTAAATGTCTAATTGTGAAGCGCTGTCACGTGTTAAGCAGAGCATGCAGAGTGATTTGGTTCGTTTCCACAACAGCCACATAATTTGCCTAAATTAAGCTGTCGAGTGGACCATTAGGCAGAACAACTGCATCTGAGGAAACAGATAGAGTCCGTCTTCGTTATCATTTCAACCGGTTTAAGACCCGAAGAAGCGGAAACAGAAAACGGATAAAGAGCCATAAAAGCCAGTCGTAATAAGTAATATCGGAAGGCATTAAGACACTAGAATCATGGCTGGTGGACAGGTGCCTCTCCGCTCAGATTCGGGCCCATCGGCGAATGTATGTACGCGCCAAGTACAGAGCAACGACTGAAGGATGATGTTGTTAAATTTGTACGTGTCAATCATCAAAAAGATAAAGTGTCCATGCGGTAGCACGTACTCGTTACTGGATCTTTGATAAGAAATTTTATTTCCAATATCCGCCAAGGGAAATCGATTGCTTCCGACATGAGCGTCACCGTTACCTAAAGCAGTTACAAAGTAAAGCTTTCCCCTACTTGGAACTCGCCAGGAACAACGAAAAGAACGCGTCCATTGGCTAAGGATGAGAAATGCACAATTATATTGTTTGAGAACTACCCAGTTTGATGGTTTTGAATTGCCGAGGAATCTGAGTGAGGCTGAGGCGATTTTGAATAACTCGATTGAGATCCAGCAGCGCTTGATTGACGTCGCTGTTAGACATGGGCTCCGTGTGTGTAACACAATTCTGGTAGTAAAATAAAGGTCAAAAACTCTACTTTTATAGATTTGGGAAGGCGTGTGTAGGTTTTATTGGTGAAAATATCGATTGCCAACAGCACAGCAAACGGTGGAAGTCTGGCGCCTATCAAAGTTTCTCTGAGAAGCCTTGAAAGCGAATTTGCAGTGTTGATTAGGAAGAAACTCTGTTCTTCTAAGAAGTTAGATATTTTCTGCAACACAATGACCTTGAAAAGCGACATTACCTCGCATTTGTCAACCTTGGAAGCACTGTTGGACCATTTTACTAACGCTTCCAGACGCACAAACAAATGCCTGGTGCGACTGAAGAATGTAGCGATCTCAATTTTCTTTTCTAGATCAGTTTTAGTTGGTAGGCTGAAGGAGTTTACATCGAAGGGTAACTTACAGATCGACGAATCTCATAAGATCAGTATACACTTTCTGGCAAATGAACTCGATGAGAAGAGATAAAGAGATCACGCCAGGCCGTGGTCGGTGGACAAGAGGTTCAGTGTCAGCAGAATCAGACATTTCAATGAAATATTGTGTTGCGTAATGTTCCGAGATGAAGCTGAATTAGATCCAATGGGCTGAAATACGAGAGGGAGCGATAACCGAGTTAAAATGCAGCATAGGTAAGCAGGTGTTGGAGAAATTAGAACAAAAGGTCTTAACTACATAAAGGAACTCTTAGTGCTTGAGGTAAGAAGGTTGGACCTGACCTTCGATAAAGCATGATCCTCAACAGTCCGTCAATGAGTTGTACAATCTGGTTCGGAAGACGAAACTTTAGCCAAGACGGTAATTCGGCGCCGTAGATCCGATGATCAATGCAAGCAGACTGACGATCGACAGCACAACACGCGAAACCAGAAGGCGAAAAGTAATTCGAATTGTTTATCGGTTTTTGATCAGTTAAAATAATATTGTACAATGAATAATGGAAAGGGGAACAGGAAGGTACAATTGGAAAGATTGAATGTTATACTCACTACAAGCACATCAGAGTTGACGAGTGGGGAGAGAGAACACAACGTGAGTTCACAAGAATATATCGGGAGCAAGAGATAAGAAGGTACAAAAGCATCTGCGAGTTAACAACAACACATGCAAGCAACGAAGTGTACAGTTTTAAGAATCAGAGTAAGATGAAGATAAGTGGAAAGCTAGAGAAGAGAAGATTGGCAAGACCGTAGTCGAAGAATACAAGATTTATGGAGTCCCATTCCAATGCAAGACAAGGAAATGAGGAATACAACTAGGCCAGGCCAGAACAGGAGAACTCCTAAGGACGATACAAACTTCCACTTAACGAACATCCGGTTTTCTTGACTGGCAAGCGAATCAGGACTCCCAAAAATCTGGTATTTAATTGATTATACTTGCTTCTGCAACGGAAGTGAAGCAAGAACAAAAGCAACCTCTGAATACATGGTTCACCCACAAAATTAACTACACGAAGTTTCACAGTTTCAAACCCTAAGAACTTATGACAATCGTCGGAAAAGGTTTAAACAAATTCTATCTAGTAGTATCTTGAAAACTATCAATGCGGCCCGTGGCTTTAAGGATCATAAGCAAGAGTTTGTAATCTGAGGTCGCGGATTCGAGCCTGCGTATCGGACCGGGCAACCCTCGAATTATCCTCAGTCCACGCGCGACTGGTGGTGGTTGTGCGGCAGCGAAGCGTCGGTGCTGCGTACCGGCGCACTTCTGATCCTTTACCGCCAGGCGCTGTGTCGAAAGTTAGTGCTAACGAAAAAGGGACGACCATTTAAACACAGGTGCAGCGACCGATCACCGTTATCGTTACGAGAGCCTACACCGTAGTGGCCACCCAGATGCAGCTCAGCAGAGGAGAGTTTACCAACTTGGGTGTTCATATAACCAGCCATCACTAGGTACCTGCACTTTACCCGTAAAGAAGGAGCTCATTTAGTTGGTGATGGAAGTCGTCTTTCACCAAGTCAGTGCTACAGGTTGCGGGGGATTATGCCGCAATCACAAATAGGCACCGTTTGTCCCTGCTGGAATTCGAAGCTTTGAACGAGCCAGGCGCACATCCGACCGCTTATTGGGATCCAGTCTACCAAAGCAGCTTCAGTCTGGGGCTCAAAGCAATGCCGTCGGTCGGTGGCCAAGTGGTCAGTGCGCCTGGCTCGCAACCATAAGGTCACCGGTTTAAATCTGCGTAGGGGCGGGCATCCTCACGGCGTACTCACCCTACGCGCGACTGGTGGTCGTGCGGCAGAGAAGCGCCGTTACCACGTACAGCTGACACATTGCTAATATTTGCTCAAAGCAATGCCCACATTGGCTTGACCGGTACGTAAAGCTGCGTCATCTTCGGACAAGCGTAGTACGAAAGTGTCAGCAGCATCGCACAGAACTAGAATCGTGCAGACAAATTGGCGAAAAACAGCAGAAATCGACCGATAAGGGGCTCTAGTGCTCGGGAAATTGTTGCCTGTTGGTTAATCGGAAACAAGATGCGCACACTGAAGCATGACAGACTTAATGAGGATGGAAGGCCCTGAATAGAAACGAATGGATTGACGTTGCCCGCTTGGTTGAACACGGAATGGTCGACTGGACTGAAGCGACGCCCTGCGATTGCATGTGAGTCAGAACTAAGACAAACGACTATTGAGGTAAGATGTGAGAGGGCCGAGAACTGAGGGAGTTGAAAACAGGGGTATAATGGTGAAGCTGGAGCAGAACGATAATGATGAAAGCGCGCAAGAGGAGAAATAAGAAGGCAGGAAGGTCAGAAGTAACAATCCCACCTCGTTTACCTTACACGATGCAGTAAACAGAGCACCGTTGATCAACCCCTGCGACGGATTTAGAATCAAGAAGTTGTATGGATAAAAAGCCATTGTCATTGACAGCATTGGTTGTCAGCGAATTCCGATCTATGCTTTAGACCTTCGAAGTGCAAAGTCCTCCAATATTGGCGGGGGCCCACGCCTGCGCTGACTCTCAATAGTGATCAGTTAGAAGTGGTCGCCAAATTCAAGTATCTAGGCAGTTGTACCAGAGTAAGTGGAATAGAGTATGAGATCACGAAGCACATAGCAGAAGCTGGGAGCGATTTTGACATGATCTGCCATCAAGAGTGCCGGTGAAACATCACTATCGTCCTAAAGGGCAGAGTTTACAATGCAGCCGTCCGTTCGACCCCCTTGTGCAGTTGCGAAGTTTAACCCATCGAGTCGACAGAAATAAAGGCTTATTGTGTTCGATCGTCGCTGCTTTCACATAATAATAATAATAATAATAATAATAATAATAATAATAATAATGCGTCAGCTGCACGCCGTAACGACCACCACTTGCACAGCTTCCCGGCTTAGCTCGCATTTGGTTGGGACACCGCTTGAGAAATGAGCGTGTTCGGCGTCGCGTATTTGGTGTAGGAAGAACGAGTGAACCCCTCAGCACCGTGATTCTGGCACCAGGCTCCAATGGCTCGGCCAAGTGTTGAGCACAGTGATTCCCGCAACCTACGTTGCTTTTGCGCCGAGACTGTGGATGATGAAACACGAAAGGAGGCCAAAAGATGACAACAAAGAACGCAGGCCTTTACTTCGAACTAGGCGTCAGTTGGTGTGTCTTGACTGCTAGGCTGGGGTCCTAAGGACGATGAACACGTTCGGTTGAATACACTTGTCGACATGGCAAAAAACCGACCTCAATAACGTTGTATTGTATTTTTTGCCCCTTCATACCCCGTCTATACTCACCCTTTAACCCAGATCTGGAGTGGGGCACAATATGATACTGAATAAGATTTTGCCAGTTGGTTTTTTATGCAATAATGTCTGGTACCTCGCATTATTCATGTTACTTTTTGTATTGCGGCACTTTCAGCTAGAATGTGATGGTGATGGACGAATAGGGCTCAAAATTCTAACCGCAATGCAGCGAGATGGCAATTACTCGGATTTATCATAAATGGAGGCCATCACATTGCTAAATCATAACTTCGAGAGTCAAGAGGCAGTTCGTCTGAATTCCACTGACCAACCTAGTAAGAGCAGATTCCAAGAGGTCCGAGAGCCCAACGTAATACAGCTCCATGGGTCGAAGGGGTACGCAAAGCTTCGCACCACGTCAAGATCGTCTCGTGACGGGAGTTCTAGTTCAAACACGACCTGAATGATAGTAGACTTCAGTGAGCGCCCCGCTGTCTGCGCCACTAGGGCAGGGTGAAATTTGGCGGATTGATCTAATATATAATAGAATAACTAGATCGTGTGATTTATACCACGATTAAACAACTATCGTCTAATGGGTTTGATGGGTGACGTTGCGAGATGACACTGGCCACAAACTCATTTCCATTAGAAGCAGCAAAAGCTCAGCGCTTTCACTCATTAAGTCTAAAAGCTGCTCAAAAGAGTACTGTGACGGTAAGTCAACAATTTTCACCAAAAGATGTCCCAATGATTCCCGACAAAGGAGGCCAAGGTGACTTTTAAACATATGTAGAGTCATCTTGGTTTGAAAAGCTTCAATCTGTGACCTAGTAGTACTAGTACTAGTAGACTAAGTATTAGTATAATTGAGTATTATTATTAGTAGTAGTAGTGTAGTAGTAGTAGTAAGCACAAGAGTCTAATAAAAAGACAGAGCGCACAAAAACCATGGAGAATAGCGGATAAGTGGCAGAGTCGCCGCATCATAATCATTGTGGCACAGTATCTGAAGGTGAGCAACACACTTCAGCTACTGTGCCGCAGGAAGAAAAGAACGTTTCGGCAAAAACTATAATAAGACATTATTAGTTTGTTTGCCACATGCCGAGTTTTCTCTTTTTTGTCATTTTCAATATTTAAGGTATTAAAAATGTGAACCAATACAATTCTTCCACTGGTTCCGGTTGCGGGCCACACACACCCCTTATACACGTTAGCTAGAGGTGGGAAACACCTTAGCTACTGTGCCGCAATACCTAAAAGAAAAAAAGGAATAAAATGTACCAGGGTACACTTAAACCACCCAGCTGGCAGTACGAAAAGGTAGTTCGGAGAGCCAGCCATTAGTCAACTTTGAGCTGGAAGAACTGTTATAACAGTTCTGAGTCCCTCACCTGAGAATACATCACACCATCAACAGGAAGAAGGGCTTTCGTAACTATGAAGATGCTCACTTGGGTGGCTGCCGATTGCCGAACATGGGTCCCAAGGACAATAAACACGTTTGACTAGATACACGTACTGAAATGGCGAAGAGTCGGCTCTTATGGCATTCGTGTTGGGAGTTTCTTTGCAACACCTCCTCCTGTTTATCTCTCACCCATTTGCCCTTCCGCCACTTATCTGGATAATAGCCGCCTTTTTCTAAGCACACCTAAGTTCAGCATGACGGATGAACAGCGGGAAATATAGCTACACTCAGTTTCGTGACTAATATGTGAAACAGAACATGTTGTAGCAACATCAGCATGTTAATCGCTAGTCAGTTCTTGCCAGGATTGTTCACTTTACAAGGACGAGCCTGCATATGCACACTTACAACGAGAGTTG